GACCCCTCGGCCACCCCCCCAGCCCCCAGCAGTGGGCTGGGCTGGAGGGCGAGGTGGCACTGGGAGGACCGGACACAGCCCTGAGAAAGCCCCTTCCCCCATTGTCCCCTCCTCCTGCCCCGTCCCGTCAGCGGCGCGGGTCCCCGAGCCATGCGGGTGGATGGCACCTGGCAGCCCCCTCGCCCCTGGGGGCTTCTGCAGCCCTGCAGGGACAAGCCCCTCTCCAGCCATCCCCAGCAAGGTCTGCCAGGCTGTGCCAGCAGCCACAAGCAAGGGTTAAAATAAAATTCACTCCAAAAGAAAGCATTTAGCACCCTTTTATCTCTATTTTTCTACTCCGCGGTTAATTACTAGCAACCAGATTTATCTCTTGCATGCCGCTCATATCCTGAGAAATTCTCATCTAACAATCAATTATTATTTAATAATCTACACTATCCATTCTTATTAAATTTCCATTAATTGCTTATTTGAGGCAGGATCTTTCTTCTCACTTCCCTAATTCTGACTATTCGAGGCGTTGGGGGGGTTTATTACCATTTCCTTCCCTTTGGTGGCCCTGCGTGCTTTTCCTTTCCCACCCCGGCTGACACTTGACACGAGTGCAAGCACAGAGTAACCCGGTTTTAGGCAAGAAGGAAAGTTCGAGGAAAGACAGCCAGCGGGACTGGGACCCACGGGTGTCACCTAAGCGGAGCAGGAACCACGCCGGCAAGGGCAAGGAAGGGGCTCCTTGCAGGGACTGCAGCTCCCCCAGCGTCTGGAGGGGTGGGAGGACCATGAGAGGAGCCTTGCTTCATTCACCAACTTCTGGGTTTCTCCCAAAGCTGGGATTAATGAAAAACCCTCCCATGAGTTCTCAGTCTCTAATGGGACCTGGTGTTTGCGGGTGCAGGGAAGGGCTGGGGCCAGAGGAACAGCAGCAGGACCACGGTGAGGAGGCCAGGAGAAGCCGTGAAGGTCGTGAGCTGGCCCCTTTCCTTCGACACACCACCTCAGGGGGGAGAATCAGCGCTCAGAGCCGGGGTTGACTCTTCTGGCTTTGCCCCGATGGCTCAGATGCAGCTCGGAGCAACCCTGGAGAGCATCCCAGGAGAGGACCCCAGGAGAGGACCCCAGGAATCCTCCCTCTGGGGGTCTGCCCCCCTCTGCCCCTCCCCAGCCCACTGTGTGGGACTTCGCAGGCAGTAAAGACAAAACTGCAGCTAAATAGCAGGGGAGAAAACAGAGCTAAGAGATTTAAAGCAGCTTACTCCTCCAGCTGGCAATTAATCAGACATTGCTGTAAATCACCTGGCTTCTGCCACGCTGCCCGCTGGGAGAGAGGTTCGTGGAGACAAGTTCGTTTAATCCAATTAAAGCCCAAAGCTGTCGCCGGAAAGACAACCACCCCCTTTGAGTCCCCATCCGCCCTCCCCGCACTCACCGTCGGTCAGCGTCTGGAAGCACATCTTCCCGCTGTACTTGCCGTAGCCGGCCACGGTGCGAGCCCGCACCTGCACCACGTACACCATGCCAGGGCGCAGCCCCTCCAGCCGCGCCGTGTTGGTCTGGCTGCGCGCCATGGAGGAGTTGTACTCGTTGTGGTCCTGCGGGCACAGCCGGAAGAGACGGTCAGTGGGGCAGGATGTATCCCCCAGCCCAGCCGTCCCCGCTGATGGCAGGGATGAGGTTTATCTGGGGCCCCCCTGGTTCTGCTCCTGGAGGATAAGCACCAGAGTGCTGAGCAAGGTGGTTGGGACCCTCTTGATTGCCCTCATCCCT